TGTTTTGATCATTTAATTCCTTTGATGTGTACGGTATTTATTTAGGATAGTAAGAAAACTGGTTTCAAATAGACAAGTCATAATCTGATTATATATTAGAGAAAGTTAATGAGTTACTGTTTTGTGATAGCTCAGTGAGAAATTCATTTTCAGTAAAGTATTTTTAAAGCATCTGTATTGCATACAAGAGTGAAAACTGTTTTGTTGCGCTCTGTTGCTTACGAATTGCACATATGCGATTATGATCGCTAACAAGGAAACAGGTTGCGTTTATTTCATACAGATTGTTAAGATGGTAGCGTAGATCTGGTCGATCAGTGTGGAAGCACATTTTGTAACTCTAGTTGGAGCATTTATTACCTGTGTAAGGTGTGTAGAAGTATCATATGTAGCCATTTAGTGTCATTATCAAGGAGGAAATCATATTAAGGTCTCCCATGATAATCACTTCTATGCTGGGTTATCAAGCAGCCTCTAACTCATATTCAAATTGGCCAGTCAATGATCAGAGGAAGGTTGGAGGTCGGTAAGCAGAGCTGATATAAATAGAATGACTGTCGAGAAAACTGAACTCGATCCACATTGATTCTAATGTAAAAGTTTGTTCTTATCTTGTATGTTACGTTATTTGAAACGTACAAGTTTATTCATCCTCCTAGGCCTTGTGGTTGATCTCGTCTTTCCAACGAAAATTTGCTAATACAGACAGAACAGTCTGGTAATTTTACAATTTATAAACGTTGCGCATGGTCCAATTAATACAAAGTTGAATTACTGTTGTTATGGGTTTAATACTATATTTCACCACATGATAGGCTGGCTATACATGGCTGTGGAAGAAGAACACGTGAAAAACCCCGGTAAGAGAGAACAGTGGATCGTAAGTTTCAGTTCGTCTATGTTTTGGTAACTTGTATCTTACACAGGTTAATAAGTTGCAAACATTTCTTTTTTCAGACCAATACATGTACTGTTTAAATTTTCCTAGTCGTTATTCGAATGAAGACAGATTTATTAGCTATTTCTGAGTTAGAGGATACCACATTATAACCTTGGCATGCACAATACGAATTAGTACTTTGGACAGAGACAATCGGAACAAATATCCGTAGAACATGATACTTAATTTGACTGATGTGTATGTATTATCATCACTGTACCCAGATGGATTTACCGAATGATTATAATAATAGTTAAAAATGCCACGTCTGTAATGTACCTATTGTCGTTTAATCGGAATGTCCCTTTTCCAGACCTTGCATTACGATAACCATGCCATGCACACTGTGTAGTATGTTTCTTTTCCTACCCATTATGGGCATGCATTGCTCTCTGGGAGCTTTTTTGACTATGTTGGTATTTCACAATTGAGTAGTGCTTATTCACGTTGGTAGGTGTTGATTTGAGAACAAGAGTAATACTGTGCATATTTTTCAATAGGTTTTGCCGTGCCCGCGTCTTTCAGGTGAATCGCCTCATAATGAAAGGACGTAGATGGTAGCTGACCCGGCGCTATCAACAGTCTGGTCGATATGATTGGTAGGTTGAAGTATCTGACAATATTAATCACATCAAATTGCGTCATATCCATGTCACTTCTGGGAATAAGGCCAGATATAACGATCTTGTCAAACTGGACTAACAACTGGTTGGCGAGGAACTTGTATTTGATCTCAAACTGGTTTAACTCCAGATCTCTATCAGCGTATATTTTGTATCTGCTTGGGCAATAATTGTATGGTATTTAGGTAAAATTTATTCAGTTCTTTTGATCCTGTCAGTGGAAGCACCAGGGTATGATTTTACGTGTAACTCGCGTGAAAGTCCTCTGCTGTTGATTCTTTTAAGGTAAATGATCCTGGAATCAGTGTCTTTGTTGATTCTTTTAAGGTAAAAAAGATCCTGGAATCGGTGTCTTTGTTGATTCTTTTAAGGTAAAAATGATCCTGGAATCAGTGTCTTTGTTGATTCTTTTAAGGTAAAAATGATCCTGGAATCCGTGTCTTTGTTGATTCTTTTAAGGTAAAAATGATCATGGAATCAGTGTCTTTGTTGTTTTTTGAAGTGAATGACTAAATCGATTTGGATCTATCTGAGAATGTTCATAACTTTCTTTAGTGCGTGCTGGTTTATCAGTTCTTGTTTGACTCCTGTCTGTCTGGCTAGTAGCGGTTTCGTTATCTGACTTTGAGTATTTTATTAGGTTTTGTCAATTCCATTACATTTTGTGTTTTATTCAACAATACTGCTGTTTTCTTATTTGTTTCAAGTCTGGCGTCTAATGTTTTCTGTTTGATTTTTTTCAAGCTTTATTGAGGTTGATTTGTCATACACTGGCATACGCTTTGTTACGTTGGATACTTGGTTGATTATATTTACAAATTTTAATTCTATATTGTTTGACAGTATTTCTATTTGGTTTTAAATTCCCGTTATACAAGCATGTAATTCATTCATCGAAACCTGAACAGTTCTAAGGTCTTTAGGTATTTTTCTACATAGAGTATAGAAGAGTCAAAATCCTATTGGGTTTGTTCTGCTAATATTAACACAAGTATCATGGTACAAAAATATGCAAATGTTACAACTTGGCATATTTATAAATTTTGTTTTTGTCTTGTCTATTGTTTGAGAGTCGGAGCTACACTTAAATTCATTATTAGACATTTTTAATATATCACAATACAGCTTTGTGTCAACATTCATGTTTGACCAATTATTGTCCGATTATTCTTGCTCTGCTCAATGTATAATCAAGGTATTATAATCTGGTGCAGGGGTAGGGCATATGTGTTGTTTTAATTGTTTTAATTTGTTTGTTTCTAATTGTTGGGGAGATAGTAAGTAGATATGACAATGACGTTACGGTAACTTGAATTTCTGTATTTTTGTCGATGCATTTTAACTTTACGTGTGGGCAATAGCCAAGATAAATAAATTGAAATATCTAAAATTTTTAAATCTTTCCTTACTGTCATTTTGAAAACTAGTTCAAATTTGGTAAAGATGAAAGCACACATATCACGAGTTTTACGCTAGGCTGGGAATGCTGCAATGAGAATGAAGAGGCGAAACATTTTGGAATTTTCTTTTTACGTTCTTGAAAATTTTCTAGAACGAAGTTAAGCCCGATTCCGTTAATTAAAACCACGATAAGCTAAATTCTTTAACTAACTGTGGACAGATTGTATGCATACAAATAAGTTTTGACATGGATGGAAATTAAATGCATTAGACGTCTTTGCTTTTAACATCATTAACGTATATAATTATAATTTGCTATTTCAGTTTTTCTAAATAGAAAAAAAGACATATCATTTGGATTAGTTTCCAAATTCTTTTGAAATTTAATTTAATATTTTCTAAACAATAACGACAAGTTTCAAATAAGTCGAAGTCTATTCATTCTATATAACTATTTTCATTGTTCTACAGTTTCACTGACTTTACAAGATCACGTGATACGGACTGTGCTATAGTTTTGACTGACCTTAAAAGATCACGTTATACTGATCTGGAACTTTTACACATAAATACATTGAAGGAGAAATCTTTCATTTCTTAGTCTGTTTCCAGTATTTTTCAATCAAGTCCTTACAGCATAACGATTGAAACAAACTATACACGCCATGGTAACTTCAGATGAAATTTGGCAACAGGAAACAAAATCTCCGTTTAGAAGTTCAAACATGGTAATCTCAAAGACATTTGTGTTCCTAAACACTATTTACTTCGTGAGTCATAAGAATATGGAAATATATTTATACTTTGAGTTGTTGAATGGGAATCTAAAAATTATTCAAATCATGAAAACAGATTACAGCTGTTTATTGGCTGTTCTAACATGCGAATGTTTTGTGATTGGGCAATGTTAACAAAATTGCAGGAGTCAAATATATGACATACTGTTCTAAACGGTAGTGGTATTGTGACGTCATGACTCTTTGTAACGAAAGTTGTAGGTCAATACATTTAAGACCATTATCTGACAATTTGAAAGAGGGTAGGGATGAGAATTACATGACTCTGCCTGGAAATTGGAACGAAATTGCTACTTTACAATTACAAATATCTACTTTGTCTGCTTCGCTGACGTCGTCTTTAAAACTCTTTTTGTGATAGAAAAAAACCACAAAAGTAAAAATAAAACGCACACACACAATGGACGTTCTCAGCTTCTGGTTTTAGTACACAGAGTGAAACTGTTCATTCGGAAATTTAAGTGCGTATAAAATTATCAAAAAATTTTTCGACATATGAAGAAAACAAAATTTTAAATTACGGTTAGCAGCTGATGAAAATTAGGTAACATGTAAAGTCAAATGGTTAAAGGCCGGCTTACCTTGAAGCATGGCAGTTAGTTCGATCGATCTGTTTTGCAACATGCATTTCTAGTCAATGGTATTTATGAAAGAAACGTCAGTTATCATTAACAGATTATTTTTAGCTGCAATCGTTTGGGAGGTCTGAAATATAAAGAACTATCTGTCTTTTGCATCAGAGTGATTGAGATCGCTTCTTATTTGTAGGAAAGTCATGTCGATGAGAGATTTTCCTTTGATTCTGCCCAAAATGCAGGTTCTGTATTCACCTTTCTTGTATTCTACTACTTGTTTTGTCTGCGAGAGTAAAACAGACATAATATGACGACTGATGCTAGGTGGGTGTGCGATGTGGTGGGATTCGTGCGATTATCTTTACTAAAGTAAGGGCATTGTCTGTTTTCAAGTCTGGGATCTTTGTTTTTCTCCTTAGAAATGCTTGATATTGGTGTATGCACACATGTTGGTATTCAACATGACAAATTATCCACAATCAGCCGCTACAGAAACACGTACAAAACTCGAATTCAAAATCATGAAACATGCATTTCATATAGTTAAAAAGGTTAAGGACCAGCAGAAGAGTCAAACAATTTATTCATTAGTTTTTAATCTTACAGAACATATCCATTGCATTATATCTTCCATAAACATATCCATTGCAATTATATTTGACATGACCACTACGATGGCCTAGTGGTTAGAGTGTCCGCTTTGGATGCGGGAGGTCGTGGGTTCGATTCCCGGTTGAGTCATACCAAAGACTTACAATAATGGTAGCAACAGCTGCATCGCTTGATGCTCAGCATTAAGAGGTTAGTGTTAGGATTGGTCGGCCTGGTATCAGGATAATGTGACTGGGTGTGACATCGTGCTATATGTCTGCGGCATGATCTCGCAGTGCTAGACATCACCATAAACTGCCACACTGCAGACATCGTAGCGATATGACTGAAAATTTGTTAAAGCTACGTTAAAAATCATAATCACATCACATATATTTGACATGAACACTATCCAATGAAATCATACATGCCATGAACGTATACATTTCATATCATATTTAACACGAAAGAATCCATGAAATTATGTGTACCATAAACAGTATCCAATGAAATTATATTCACCATGAACATATACATTTCATATTATATTTAGCACAAAAATATCCATGAATTTATATATACCATGAACAATATCCAATAAAATTATATTCTCAGTGTACATTTCATATCATATTTAACACGAAAGTATCCATGAAATTATGTGTACCATAAACACTATCCAATGAAATTATGCATGCCATGAACGTATACATTTCATATCATATTTAACACGAAAGAATCCATAAAATTATATCTACCATGAACAATATCCAATGAAATTACATTCGCCATGAACATATACATTTCATATTATATTTCACACGAAAGAATCCATGAAATTATATCTACCATGAACAATATCCAATGAAATTAATTTCACCATTTCATATTATATTTAGCACAAAAATATCCATGAATTTATATGTACCATGAACAATATCCAATAAAATTATATTCTCAGTGAGTATTTCATATCATATTCAACACGAAAGTATCCATGAAATTATATCTACCATGAACAATATCCAATGAAATTACATTCCACATGAACACATACATTTCATATCATATTTAAGATAACAATATCCATTGAAAATTATTATGGGTGTGACTAACCTGTCAAAATGTTAGTTAGATATAATATGCTAGTCTGATATAATATATGAAATGCATGTTCAATATAAAATGCAGGTTCGATATAAAATTGCTTACATAATAGCGAAAACATGTTGTCCTCTGCAGGTACGTAGATGTCAATAAATATTGTATTTCTTTGAATGACTCGTATGGTTATTATTGCAATTTTCATTTCTTGGTAGCATTCGGCTTTGTTCTGCTCTCTACGTTAATAACTATGCTACAGACAATACATGCATTTTATAAAACTATATACACGCTTGAAATAACAACGTTGTAATCTCATTTAATGCAGAGATCATAGTCCCTATCTTCATATTCTAAAACAACGATGCATTTTGTTATTGTAGCATGGAGATCTTAAATCATTGCAAAATGTATAAAATTGTTGAACTACAATCAAAAGTAATTGAAGTTTTGAAGCTAACTAATTAAAATTTTATATCGGACTGACATTACATTACAACTGCATTCCTATGTTGAAAGGAAACTTAAAACACGAAAATATCAAAAACTCAAAATAGAACACGAATATTTTAGTTATTTGGGCAAGAAAATGAGATGTCTGTGAAAGGATTGAACATATGTTCCAAGGGTAGAGAGCTTCAAAAAGATCGCCCTTACCGATCAAAGCTATCTCACCTCTGTCCGCGTGGTTCTCGTCTTGCGTTTGGCCAGTGTGGGCATGTGAGAAAGCTTGCCAGTAGCTTCCCGTGGGTGGGTGGTTCGTACCGGGGTTTTCCACGTGTTCTTCTTCCACAGCCATGTATAGCCTATCATGTGGTGAAACACAGTATTAAACTCATTACAACAGTAACAACAATGTACGTTACCTCCAGGAACATTCTAGATTACTTGGACAGTTTTTATTATTCAATAATAAATACCTTTATGGATATCACAGGACATTGCGTGGTAACTGTTACTGCTTTGTTGACTTATAATCGCATACAATTATGTACTTAATTTGGACAGACCTTGGAGAGATTCACAGGAGCAACGTGTATCTCCCAGTGTCTATCTAGGCTCGTTGCACAGGCACAGATCAGCACACATTCATTTACATCAGATTTAAGACCTCACAGCGTGAGCAGCCCGATAACGCGTGCCAACCCTTAGGTCATTTTCATTCTTCTATGAAATGTTTAAGCAAAAAGACAGAGATTCTTCTTATTTAACATCATGCATAAACATAGAAAGTACTCAGTAATATTAACCACTATCAGTTAATTCAAATTAAGTTTTTAACTCGTATTAGCTATTTTGACAGTATAGCATAGCGTGATAGTGTGCAGCATTAAAGAGAGCAGCGTTTCTTGTACAGGATATTAATGAGTCATGTACAGTGTAAAATACAGCAGTAATTCATGTACATTCATGTACAGCGTCAAAAAGAGTAGTAATTCGTGTACATTATCAAACTGAACAGAGTTTGATACAGCGTCATGGACACTGAACAGTAAAATAATCATGCTCGAGGTAATTACTTACTTTTTGGTCAGGTATGTCAATGTTCAGTGACAATACAGCTGGAAGTAAGTGTAGTAAACGACAAAACCATCATTTTGCTTACTTGTAGGTCAAGGATGTCCTTAATGATAAGAGACAATGACTCTATGACTAAGATCAGTTTAAAACAAGCGCAGACGGTAACTGAATTAATGGCGGGAAACTATCATGGTATGCTGTCAGCAATAATATGCCCTCGGACAATTCGATTTTATCGAAATAAAGATGGAGTAAATGGATTAATAAAGCGTAGTTCAGTTTATGCCAAATAATTTAAGCATTGCCAGCAGGCAGGCAAGCAAGTACGGCAGATGTATTTATGTATCTGCCTTTAACTAAACATAAGAAGAATAATGGCTATATTTTTAAAAACGCAGTAGTGAAGAATTGCACAAAACTATTATGAATATAAAACACTTCTAAATAAATTTATAACAAGGTAAAAAGAAGTAATAATTATAAAATTTCGCAAAATGCATTTGTTTAAACCCTTTTTTAATTGACATAAAGCTTCCTTTAGAATCATCTGTTTAGAAAGAAACTACTACTCATTAAAGCGTAAGATCCACTTTGAAATAAAAATAACGACTTCGGCACTGAAATGGTTCCTGAAAATGTTAAATGTACTTCTTCTAACTTAACACCTTATATCTCAATATCTCTAAATAATGTGATATTCTTAATGAACTAGCTTTTTGTGCATTTATATTGGCGTGCTGATGTCTGGTTTCAAATTTTTTTAAATTTTTAGTCGTTATTGCATTTTTCATCAATATTTGATTTTTTCCAGGACACATCAGTGGTCATCTTTTTCACACTACTCTACCCCCTTCTCGGCCAAAACCCCAACAATTTGATGTTCCATTATTGTTCATTTAAATTTTCAGAGACAATCGGTCTGAGAATATGGAATTGTTCTGACTACATGCAAGTAATGAACTAATTCATATAAAATCGTTGTACTTCTTTGAAGCAATGGACCTAAATTCAGCTTGAACATTTTAGCCATAGTACAGTCACGTAACTCATGTACGCGCTGTGAGTCAAGTTTTGCAGCTACCTGTGTCATTTTGGAGAATTTGAGTACACGTACCTTTAAGTAGCGTTTATATACTTTATTTCTCGCCTTGTCCACCACAATTCCATTGAAGATTATTGGGTCATTGTATTAATTCCTAGAAAAATGTTTAATGGCAAACTCTAAGATAATATACTTCGTCATATTTATGCACAATCGTGAAAGCCGGGTAATCTCGTGTAAGCCGGTACTGTCGTGTACTAAGATGTAAGAGGGAACGCGCCTGCTATTGGGAAAAAGTTGTAATACAACACAAACAGAGACGCGACATTATCTTCATTTATTAAACAAAGCCATGGAAAACACCGGAAAGAAGGAAAAGAAAATGGGTATACCTGTGCAATAAATAGGAGGCAAATGTGATTGCGTATACATCTTCTTTATGGAATGTTATGTCTTGTACCTCAATTTGTACATAACCTAACTTTCCCATACGAGTATGTTCTTTCATACACGTAAAAGACTAGAAACACTACTTCAAATTATATTTTTTAGTTAAATTTTACATCATGCTTAATTATTATTTTGAAAAAATTTCAGATGTACAAGCTAAGAATAAAACATATTGTATGTTACTCCTCTATCCCATTCATACTTGAACATCCACACAGGAGATAAAATGAAGATGCTCGCGACTTATTGACCACGTGATCGTGACTTGATTCCTCTGCACTAATAATAGTTCAGCTCAATATCAACTTTCTTGAACCAGAGTAATGCTAGAAGAAAATTTATCGATCGCTATGAAATTCTATAATGGCAGTTCGAAAATTTTATGACAATTAATGTGCAGATCGCTAACAAATCACGACTGAATAAACCTTGTTGTATCTGTATTACGATTAAATTTTAAAAATAAAGTTATTTTAAAATTTATATCAGTAAATGAGTTTATATTACCCGAGTGAATTGTACTATATAGTATATGTCTATCACCTGATCTTCCAATTATTGTTGTCTGCACTTAAAAAAGAAAATAATGTTGTCGCTTGATCAAGTATTAGGAAAGAGAAATAATTAGATAGGGTTGCTCCAGTTACGGCCTTAGCAAACGCCCCTCCTCTCTCCAAGCCCCCCCCCCCATTTACGCGCAGTGCCACACTGTGAGTACATTTGGAAATTAACTTTTGAACAAGTTTTTCATCATAAAAAACTATATTTTCTTCCTTCGCTTTAAAATTACTTTCTCACTGTGGATATATTTGTAAAATTACTAATGCGAAAAGCCCCTGTGAACACGGGGCTCGATTGGGCCAAATCGGTCCAATCGGCCTAAGAACGGCCCTGGATGGCTCAAATCGGCGTAGAGGTTAAATGTGAAATAAAAACCGTCTTTCTAAAATCCTGCCTATATCAGCGACTTTAAATATGTGAATTGTTCGAGCTGGTAAGGCGATGGGTGTCATAAGCGAGTATATCGGTTCAA